GGACAGTGCACTTCCCATAGAGCTCCCGGACAGAGACCCTCACTGTGAAAAGAAAAACTAAGTTTCTGTCCGAGATGAAAAAAATCAAATGTCTACATTTTGGTTATTGAAGAACACTGCCATAATCCGATTTTCCTTGAACCCATGTTGGTTCAAGCAGCACTTCATAAATTGTTCCTTAATCTGAATTTTTAGAAGGAATTATATTTAAGCCTTCCAACTTGGCTTTGCACTGTCTCTCCGGGTTGCCAGAATACTTTCCCTTGCTGAAAAAAATAGCTAAGCCTCTGTTAAGCACTGCATCAGTAGGAGAATAATTCTGCTTTCCAAAATGAACACTGGGGGATTAAAGTTCCTGTGTTGAAACTCTACTTGTTTTCTCAGAAAGTCCGCTCCAAAACTTTTATCATTAATAGTTCCTCCACACACTATAATAAAGTTGCTGCTTCTTGCTCTCATTGGGAACATACTTATTCTTTAACATTCTTCTGTAAAATAAAGCTAACAGGACCACGTACAAGCAGAAGTCCTTTTTCGTCAAAAATTCCCAGGGCCCGGTACTTCACTTTATTCAAACTGCTCTCAGATGCAGCAGACAGACTTGCCTCAAACTCCCTAATCCACCAAAAAACCGGCCTCAGGAGAGGCCAAAACCAACATTACGGCCAGGAACCGTGTAGCACAACTCACAGCAGTAGCTGCGCAGGAACACGCAGAGGGGGCTGTGAATCTGCCAGAGTCCCGCATGAGAGAGGAGGTTCTCCTGGGAGAAGCCTTGGGCCAGTTTAAGTTATTTTGGTTCTGTTCAAAAAATGAGTGTTGAACACACGCCCCCCCCCGCCCCCAAACCTATTTCTTCACTTTTATTACACACACAATGTGGTTCCAGAACTCTCGGGACCTGCCTCTTTACAAAAGACACTCTCGTGCTCTTTCTTCAGATACAGATAACTTGCTATTTAACTGTCGTAAGAACGCCTCTGAGAAAAATTCCTTGTTTCATCTAAACATTTTAAAATAAACTTTATTTGTGTATCGTTTCCAAAACAAGCAATATTCTTTTTTCCAACATGCATTGGACAAAGTTTAACTGGAATCAAAAAGAAAGAAATGCACATACATCTTAGTGTGACCTTACTTCGTAGCACTTTCAGAGACTAAGGCAAAGAATAAAGAATCCTTCTTAGATAACTAGGTGGGAGAAAAAAGCAATGGATTTATACAGCTGCGCTTCCCTTAATTCTACCTCAAATATTTACACCACCGTGGCTAAGTTGAAGCATAAAATGGAAAAGCAAGTCAAAAAGTAATAAACAGTCAAATAATTAAACAGTAGCAGTCTAAGGAATAAAAATTTACTGTAAAGCAAAAAATAAATATTTCTTCAACCTCAGGGGTTTGCCAGCACCTTAATTTGGAGCTCGTGTCCCCAAGCATTCTGCTTTTTTTCTTTCAGTCTCACCAGCCCCCACTTTCTACTGCACTGCACTATTAACATATCCCTCCCCCACAAATTGTGCCCTGTACACTCGAAACCACACTTCTGCCTTCGACGAAAATGGACAGCATTCACTGCAACCGTGTCTGCCCTGTACACACACAACGGCTCCATCGGCAGGGCCAGACACCAGTGGGTAATCCTGGCACCAACTTGTTTTGTGGCTTTTAGCCGTTTTAATAAAGAAGTGAGCAGTGATCAGCCTAAAAGCAGATATTTAAAACATGAGACAGTCTCCTTATTAGTTACAGCTAGAAAGCTGTCCGTAGAATCCTTAGCAGAAAACAAACGTGTCCTACTTCATACTCTTTGAATGCGATTCTTTTTCCCCCAAATTTATGAAACATGCAGGCATTCAACACATCCCTTGGAAAATGTTTTTGTAAGCTGCAGGGGGGATAAAGAAAACTATAAATTTGCAACAGCAGCTACGCCTGAAGATCTCACCTGTTTCAGGTGTAACTTGGCCCTTTCTAAAGCAGCCTTCAACCTTACAAAGAACTTAAAACAGTCGGTTGGTAACAACAGTATAACTGGACTATTACACACATATTACAATAATAATTTCCATTACTGTTCAAACTACACCCCTTGAAGGGCTGCCGTACTTCTACTAGAAAGCTAGTACAAGACTGAACAAAGGATCGTTACATGACACAGCACACCTACTGTGCTTTCAGGATAGTGTTAGATAACTGCTGAAGGGAAGAATATGGAAATAAAATCACCAAAAATATTTACACTTGGGCTTCTCTTCGGCTTGGTAGGCAGCTTCTTGAAAACATAGGATTACGAGCAATAGCTTTTGTAGTCCAGCTTGTCTCTTACTAACCGACTAAACAGATTGAGTTTTGAAACACCAATGATGTCTCTAACACAGTGGGAACTGAAAAGACATCTGTGTGTCTCATATTGGTACTGAAACCACTTGCACGAATCTTATTTCCAGTATCTCTCAAACTTAATTATCTTTCAGATTTTTGCTCCTTCTCCAGCATAATTATAATTGTCTCATCTGTACACTGTGACCTATTTTGATCAAAATGAAACATCTCATATAAGCTAGAGGATGAGACTTCACAATGCTGATGTTGACTTTATCAGTTAACTCTCATCTTTATGCTACCTATGCACTGCAATTCTTTTTCATTCAAGCCAAGGTTTCCTAACCATTAGACAGCTGTCTAACCAGCTCTTGTGCAGCAACTTGCTTTTATTGCTGTTTTACCGCCTTTATCACATTATCTTTTCTCTCCATGAATAAGGCACTTACATAGCCCACAAATTATTTCCTTAGTTTACTAGTTAAAAAAATTTTTTTCTTAAAAACTGTATTCATTCTGCAATTGGTAATAGAATTCAGCCTTCACTAAATCAGATGTCAGTGACCTGCACTGCATCCGTTTTACAAGAGCTACCACTAAACTAGAAGTTTCTCATACTGCCAGCGGCAGTATATCCATGTCAAATCTGAGGTACACACTCACTATTATAATGAAAACCTCACTAACAGTTTCGCATTCTAATCAGTGCTGGTATCCTCAAGAGCTTGGCCACACCGCATCACTCTGGTAGCCTTCACATCAACACTGAAATCCAGGTGAAGATTTTACACTTCTCTGTTATGGTAGGACTAAACCCAGGAAGAATAAAGAAATGGCCAATAAAATAAAAACAAGTGTTAAGAGTCAAAGGTAATTTTCCTCCAAGGTACCTAAATTTTTGGCAAATTTACTTATTTCTACAACCTTCAGCAAGAATGATCAGAAAAAAACAGCATTCAAGCAAGCATATCCTACTGGAAAAGCAGATAAACTTGCCTGGAGAAAATGAAGAAGTGCAGCTGTGTACAGAAACATTGAAAAAGAAATGAAATTAATTATAATCTTGCCAATGGGCTGAACATTGACTACTGGCAATTTTGTTCAACTGTTCAGAATTCTATCTATAAGACATTTCAGTTCCATTTACAGTAAATGAAACCTGATATGAAGAACTAGATACTTTAAAAAGGAGAAGGCTGAGAGTAAAGACGTTTTCTTTTGCAGAACTGAGAAAACAGCAAAATTATACCAGGTAGTATGAACCAAAAATACCACCACAGGTTCATAATTGTAATGTGAAATGTTTAATTAAAATATTCTTGTTTGTGAGTGGAACTCTATCCAGTTTGAGGCATAATATGAAAATTGTAAATACACTATCTAACCAAGACTTACTAAGTCACCAACATTTAGAACACCCAGGAAAGTAAAAGGTTTCTGCACATGAGAGATGAGGACTAACAGTAGAGAACAGTAGAGCAAAAAGATTATGAAATGTGATACAAGACAAAGCACCTTTGTGTATTTTGCTGTCCACGTGAGTGATGGCAACTCCACAGAGACTAAGGGATCTACTCTGCTGCTCAACAGTATCCACCACTGGCTAAATACCAGAGCCATCCAAAGGAACCTGTAGCTATTCTGGCCTGAAAGCATAATTCCACTTGAATTCATGCCCCTAGCCTCAAATTCCCTAAGTACTTAGATTTTCTGTGCATATAGAAATCATAAGATAAAACTGAAAGACAGCCAACTCCAAAAACATCTTCCCATGAAAAGCAGGTGATTCATTGTCCAGCTGATCTTGAGAACGGAGCAAGGAAGAGGCCCGAACCACATGACTTGAATCTCAGTCAGGAATAAATCCCATTAACTATCCAAGAAGAATTTAATGTGTAAGTACCACTTCATAATCCAGATGCTTTAAATTTTCAGTGTGCTCATTAAAATCAATTTAGCCATTAACTATTAACTGAAATAGTTATTAACAATTAAAAAACAGAACAAACTTCATGGGAATATTTTGAGATACATACTCATATCGATACACTCCCCAGGACAACTCATCGTGAATCTCATCACTGGAATTACAAATGCAGTAAGAGCAATAGCTTGTTAGCAATCTTTCTAGTAACATACTTGAGTCACTTAGAGATACCATCTGTCATCTTAACCGCTACAAGTAAGGTAACAAAAAAAGTAAAACTTAAAAAAATCACCCAATGTTTTGGTTAAATGTTTTTACTCATTTGTTCTTGATTCTGCAGGATATCAAACTCATTATTCTGTACCATTGCGCCCGAAAAAATAAAACACTCCCTAGATGTAAGAATTAAGAGTTAAAAACTAAAAATTAACACACCTCCAGAAAGAACAAGTCCAGATCAAGTATATTCTTGCAACCAAAATATGTATGTCAGACTTAAGCTGTATCATATAGATTTAAGAATCTTTGGTCTATGTTAGATATAAAAGTGTGAAAAACGCCTGGACGGCATAGCCCAAAAAGATCACTTAACATTAAAGAAAACATAGACAATGAAGAACTACAGTTCAGGATCCATTTTTGAACCACATGGATGACAGAAATTAGGCAAAAAAACATACAGAAATGGAGAAGCAGAGGAAAAGCTGCCAGCTTCACACACAAAGGAATAAAGTTTACTTAAACCGCTTACCGCATATTCTTCTGGTGTAACCTTCAGAACATCAAATACCACTGCATCAAAGCTCTTCTTCAGTTCAGCTGAACCTTTGTCACTCAAGGACTCAGAGCTGCTACTCTTCTGCAGAAATAAACAAAAACACTGATGATATTTTGGTTCTCTCCTCTTCTTTTTTGATTTTATGCTCCCAAAAGCAAAATTTCTGTTCAAATGTCACTGCTTACAGAATTTTTCTATTGGGTAAATTATCAATTAAAACTCAGTCACAGGACATACTTTCTCCTGACAAAGGCCACTAAGATCATAGACCCTCAAACTGATTTCAACGGATTTTAAAAGTGTTCCTCAAAACACAATAGTTACATTTCAGCGCACAATTAAATTCCAATTTTGTTGACAGGAAAGTTGATAATAACAACAACAATACAGTTACACTGAATTTCAAACAGAAAAAATACCACTACGGTGAGGAAAAAGACAAGGTCTGCCTCAAAGGAATAGCTAACATCAAACAACAGTATCAATCTCTTCCTCTTAGAAGCATTAAAACTTAGAAAATTACACTGTGAGCTACATATATGTTCCTGTATACTAAGTCACTTAATATAAACAATTCTAGGGTTTTTTTAAAAATGCTAGTAATTCACATTTGAAAAAATACCAGATCCTACAATATTATTCTATGAAACTTTATCTACTACATAAAGATTTAGCTTCCCTGCAAAATACAAATATGGTTCCAAAAACTAACACTTTGTATGAAATCAACACTTCATATTGGTTTCATGTATTGTTTTCACATGAAACGTATGAAAACACCACATCTGTGTGATGAGTAATCACTTCCTCTAGCATATAGATGCAAACCTAGATTTTGTTCAGTCATTATAAGAAAGAAGGTTTCTTTCGCAGAGAGACTGAGATGTCACATCCAGATGTACACCTCACATCTGAACCCCAGGCATACTTATTTCAGAAATATGCATACAGCATGCAATCACACTCGCCCCTGAAGACCTGAAAGGCTATGCATGTTTCTTGCTTTTCAGTTTCTTCTCACTTTCAGAAACCTGGCATAAAGCAAACTCTCGACTAAAAAGTAAGAAAAAAGACAAGACATGTGGACAAAACCATCATAATGGATGACAGTTACTACAGTCAGTAACTGTACCAAATTTAACACTGCTTCTTCAGCAAACAATAGGCTCACCTGAAGTACAGTATTGCACCTGCACGCTTCAGCAATAGCATAGCCTTGGCGTAAGCGCTAATGGAGTAAACCAACAGTTTTGCCAACGCTTAGCTTGGGATTCGAGAAAAAGAAAACTAGTAGTGGTGCACAAAGCTTATTCTCAACATCGCTGGGAGCTCCAGCTTAGCTGCGGCAAAACACACTGAGCACAAACCAAGAGCTGCCTAGTCTTGTGTTGGTCACTGATGTATCCTTAAGCACTCTATCCTAGCCACCACCACAGGGGGATACCCCCTAGAAAGCTGAAAAGATTAGACTTTGGCCCACATAACGAAGGCACTTTCTGGCAGTCTGTGTAGTTTTACTGCTAACGTTGAAAGTTTTCAAGACTATGGATATGGGTCATATACACAACATGCACAAGAATGAGCACTTTGCCACATAACTTCTGGCAGAAGCCAAATTTCAGCGCTGTTACGCTGTACCTTCAGTAACACCTGCATCATGCCTGCCAACGCCAAGACAGGAGGGAAGACAGCACACCATCACTGATGCTGGTAAATAGTTCTACTGTGCTAATGTCTTCTCCTGAAAACCTCATCAGGCAGTATTTTAGCGCTACACTATATATTTTGACTTTGGCTTCACACTCTCAGAAACAAGAACATTTGAACTTGAGAATTCGGTCAGCTGAAAGAAACTCTTGTCCACTTTTTAAGCACTTTTGTTATAAGTACATATAAAGAAAATACATACTCATTTAATAATCGTGTCTGGTTTTAGTTAGGTTCTTCTAACAGTTCCATCTCTCTGAAAAACTTGACTTTGAAAGCACCACCAGAAACTCTAAACCAGATAGGTATTTTCAGTAACCAACATACTTACAGAAACATTTCAGTTACAAGTCCTCCCTCCTCCCGGTTTGTCAAGATACAAAAAAAAAACACACACCACTTGCTGAAAGTAGACTCATTTAACTTTGCCAAAATATATTTTACTCAATTTTATCAGACATCATGTAAACATTCAAAACTATCTGGTTGAGCAAAAAGAGTTTTCCTCCAAGAAAATTTTTCTGTTGCATGCCAACAAATGGTCAATCAACGATTCATATTACAATGACAAGAGAAGTACAAGAATCTGTATAAAAACAAACAACAGTCTTGGAGATTGACATCAGCTTTCTTGTTTAAATCTTGACAATACTTCTGAAATTGTGCCGGAGATTATTTGATTTCTTTCGGTAACACGATTTGATAACACAACACTCCCAATTTTCCTTTCACCTTGTTTGTGGTACTTTCCATTTCCACATGCATATGCAAGTGCATAGCACACATGCAGCTCTGCTATCAAAACACAGGTGTAAATACATAAATAAAATAAACAACTTTGGTAAGGTCCAAAGATTCATTCAAGGAAGCAACTGTTTTCAGGACTTTGTGGCTCTCATCACTACTGACTTTGTAGTGTTCTTGAATTACTCTTCATTTACTTTTTTGTTTGAAAGACGACTGAAGGGGTGGGGGGCAGAAAGACAAACTGAAGTTTTATCACTATGATAAAAAAAAATTCACACTATGACAAAAGCAATAGAAATAATAAGCATCAGCCACAAAGTAACTGTCTCCCCTGAGCAGAAAGCTTAGGTTAGTATTGTGTGTCTGTACAAACCAAAGCATATACTCAGTCACCCTAAAGAAGACAGTCAAACAATGCACCCAGAAGGATCACTCAAGTATATACTGAAGGCAAATTTTGAGTTCCTTTCATCCCATTACCACAAGGCAGAAACAAAACAAAACAACAACAAAAAAACCACAAAAAACCCAACAAAATCTTGAAGAGTGATTTGCAAGAGAAAAAACACCACAAAAAACCTAACAAAATCTTGAAGAGTGATTTGCAAGAGTTTTGAGGGGAAAAAAAACCAAACAAAACACACCAACCACAAAACAAAACCAACCAGGTCTTGCAAACCCGCCAACATTGCTAAGAACTTAGGAATCAGTCACAACTCTCCACAGCTCCTCATGTGATCCTAGCAAAAAGAACTCAAAAAGTTCTGGTACTAACCTCACCCCGCCCCTGCTTTTCCTTAGCAAGTAGATGACAAATGGAAAACTGTATTAACTTTAAAATAAGAGGCATCAGCACAGGAGGCCAGTCTCCATTGCTTGGCTGATAGACAAGCCCTTAACTCATGAGCTGTTCACTTCTAGAGGGCGGAAACTTTGGTGGGTAGGAGGGGACCCATATCAATGCCTGAATCTACTCCAAGAGACAGAGGGAACAACCTTATTGCCGTGCTGTGTCAGACTGTGCCTCCACACACACACACAAGTACCTGTCAAAGAAGAGAATATTTCTGACAGGCCTTGCTAGCCCAGCTTATTGCACTAAGAGTATCTATTACTGTTCAAACATAGAAAGAAAAGCTTCTTTGTTTAGATGTGATGGAAGACAACACAAACAAAGGCAGTTTTGGCTATGGCAAGGCTCTAAATGCTAGCTCATGCTTTATTTTGGTATTTCAAGGTCAGAACTTTAAGTTACTAACATCTAAACTGAGGCATATGAAACCAACACACAAAAACAAGAATGTGCTGAACGAGATCTGGGAAAAAAAAAAAAAACCAACTTACATTTTGGTGCATTTAAAAAAAAAAAAGAAAAATCAAGAACTTATGGTCTTAAGTATCCAATAATTGAGTTTTGTAATCCTTACCTCTGAAGCAGTAGCTGCAATACTAACACTGCTTGACTGTCCGTTCATTAGGTCCATACTGCCCACACCATTAATCTTCAGCCCTACATTTACAGCAGCAGGATCATCTCCACGGCAACTGAATAACCATTCCTACAAAGAGCAAAAAGTAATCAGAAACCATATTACTCATGTGTTTTAAACAATATTCAGTATCCAAAATACGTAACAAAAAATACTTCCAAAATGGCTACATCACTCTGAGGTCCAAACTTTAAGTCCGAACACATATTCTAAAATTACCTACTTAAAAATGACATGAACAACTGAAGGTTCCATTGCGATCCATTGCTTACTGGCAGTATAGACTTTCATATTCTTTTCCCTACTATTTTCTATATACCAGGTATCAATATGTAAATGTATGCATTAACCCTAACTTAAAGTTAGGCCTGCAACATCAGTTCACGTATCATTCTTTTCCTTTGATTACCAACTTCAAAAAGCATACTCCAGATGTTAACTCTATTAGACAACTTCTTATAAGAAGTTACCCAATAATTTCCTATGCTATATGCCCATTTACCACCTTCAAATGAAAATTACCACATTAAAAGCAATTTAAGGGTGCAGGTAGAATTTACACCTTTCTCCACAAACTACCCTAATTATTGTTCAGTAAAAAAACAAACACTCAACAACAAACCACACAAAGAAAAACTCCACACACTAACTTTTACTGCATGCTTGCAAGAATACTATTACTGTTTATTCCTACAGGGAAAAGTCTGCAAAGAAATGGAAACCTTCGGCACCCACCACAAAAACAGTAAGACTACCCAACACTTAAGCGTTACAGAAAGAGTAAAAACTGGTTTGGGCTTAAATGTCATGAGATGTTAGTGCCCCCTAGTGTGAAAACAACTATAAATCAGTTTTCATAGGTCTAGGTTTGTAACAAGTGTGACTGTTTCCGAAGTTGCTATTATTTCTGAAATTCACTTTATGTTTGTAGCTTAAGTCAGAACTATTACACAGTCTGCAAATAAACGGAGAAGGTAAGGAACTGAGTAATACCACATGACAAAATAGTAGCATTACAGCATTTCATACTTAAGACTTCTACATTACGAAATAAACAAAATAAAGCAATCCCAAAAGTTCTATTTCCAAGGGACCTAAACCAGGTATGTCAGACAAGCAAGTCTGGAAGGCAAGACACTGCAATATTTAAATAATAAAGTACTCTCAAAAAAAGCAGTAACTTTAAAGTGTCATTGTAGGAATGCAATACAGAAAGGAGGGTAACTGAATGAGAGCCACATTGCGAATTTCAGTCAAACACTACAGCTTCTAGGTATTTCAAGGTATTAATAGTCCCCACCTGAACTATGCTGAGCTGTACTTCTGCAGTTCAGAACAGCCATCCACATTCTACCCTTTCTTGTTTAGTTTTTTTAAAAAACTGATGGGACTGTCTCATTCACAGAACAGACGATGCTACATTTCACTTTAACATTATACTCCCAGCCCATGTGCTATAATTAACATTGTGTTTCCTCCACTAAAAATACACTCAACTGCACCATCATTTTAGCTGGTATTATACTAACAGACCATACAAAGGGGAAAAAAAATACCTCATCTTTGGCTTGCAAGTGTCACTGCTGTCCGATCCTCTCCTATCTCAACTACCTTTCAGCCAGTCTCATGCAGAATATTTCCAAACGCTCAGCTCCCCAATGCCTCTTTCATATAGCCTTTTCATTTACTGAACTGAACAGCAAGGAAATAAGACTGATGTGTCATAATTTTCATTGATGTAGTGACAGTAGAGGACAGAGGTATCACATCTCCAAAACCAGTTTCAGGCCCTCCACATGTTCAAAATAGTACATCTGTCCCAATTAATCATCTTTGCTGCTGAAAAAAACTACCCTTTAAAAACTTGTATTTTTTTAAACCACTGTAATTATAAGGAAAATTGACACTTTGCACAATGTCATCATACTATCTGGCCCATAATTGTATCATACAAAGCCAATCTTGAACTAAAGGTTATATATTTGACCCTTGTCTCATACATATTTCAGTTGTTCCTCTTCCTCATACTAACAGGGTGAAACAAGGGGGAGAATTGGAGGAGAATTGTTTCTGACGACCAAGGAAAGTAAAAACTGAAGTTTGAGTTTGTGGGGTTTTTTTCTGAAGGGATTTGGATGGTGATATTTAAAAGAAATTATGCATATCATGGAAGCATGTGGAGTTGGCTAGGCAGCCTCAGATAAACAACTAACTCCTGTATAAGCAACAGGGCTGAAGTCCAGGATTAGTCTCTCACCTAGCCCATAAGCACCCAGACAGGCCCTAGCAACTCCCCTCTCCCCATTTCCTAATACACTATCTCAAGCCTTTACCCTCTGTCCCTTAACATAACACCTCCACTTTGCTACCTGTTTCCTACGCTATTATGAGTTTTGTTTGCATCTGCCCACCCATTCTGAATGCCAAACAGAGAGGCACTTACTCCTGTGCTGCCTGAAGACAGCACATACTCATTCACCTAACAGCAGGCTAAATGGGATCAGTGAGCCTCGCAACTATGGGACAGACTTTCCACCTTAGAGGACTGTACCTGGAGGGTAACACTGGCAGTACATGCTGATCCGGGTTCACCCATTCTACGCGGTTACTGACTGGGATGAGAATTTTGAGAACTCTGTCCCTTAGTCAAGTATGGTTGAAATTGGTCACCATGTGGAGAAGAGACTTATGAGGCACATGAAAAGTGGATTGATTTATTTACTTTAAAGTAGAAAATCACTTAGAAAAACCCTGCATGCAAACGAAACCAAGATTACAAAATATAACATCTGCCAGTCAGGCTGTATCATAACCAAGCTATCCAAACAATGTTAATTTTGTGCCCATTGCTGCATTACAATAGTATGTTTGAATACATTCATACTTTTTCCCACTTTGTGGGGATACAGTAAGGGACAGAATTAGTACTGAACTGCTATTAACTAGCATTTATCAACTTCAAAGTTCCAGAACTTGCAACATTTAAAATGTACTTTTGAAAGCTGCATTAGACAGAAGAACATCACTACTCCATTAACAACGAAAAGTCACAGCAACAATTTTGGCCAGTGCATCATTTAAGACAAATACTGAAAAAATCCTAATATCGGAAAAATTTGCTTGCTATACTACCCTTCTGCTCAACACCAAAATAAGTACGAAACAGTAATACCAGAAAGTGATCAACAGCAGAGCTGTTCAGAGCAACACAGCTGGATATGTGAAATGACTGTCACCACACTGCAAGAGTGAGTCACAGTTTTCACTGCATACCCTGTATATCCAATTACAAAAACTGAATTACATTGAGTAATTTGAACTTCCAGTCTGTTTCTCCTCTTCAATTTAATAAATGTCTTTGTGTTCAGAAATGCATTGAATGTGGAACTGAAAGTCTTTTACACAACACATAAAATACTTCAGCGTGCATTTATGCCAACTTGAAGCCTGGACACACTATGTGGTATCTTCCTACCTCTTCATGCTATACATACTGTTCAGTAAAAAGCAAACTAAAAATACTGGTAAAAAACATCCATCATACCCAAAGAATGAAAATGTCTAGACTAATCTCATGGTTGAACCCCAGCCAGCAATTAAGCCCCACACAGCTGCTCGCTCACTCCCCTGCCCAGTGGCATGGGGGAGAGAATCAGAAGAATCAAAGCGAGAAAACTCGTGGGTTGAGAGAAAGACAGTTTAATAGGTAGAGCGAAAGCCACACATGCAAGCAAAGCAAAACAAGGAATTCATTCCCCACTTCCCATGGGCAGGCAGATGTTCAGCCATCGCCAGGGAAGCAGAGCTCCATCATCTGTTAACAGTTACTGGGGAAGACAAACGCCATCGCTCCCAGCGTCTCCCCCTTCCTTCTTCTTCCCCCAGCTTTATATGCCGGGTATGACGCCATACGGTGTGGAATATCCCTTGGGCCACTTATCCTGGCTGTGTCCCCTCCCAACTCCCTGTGCACCCCCAGCCTCCTCACTGGTGGGGTGAGGTGGGAGGCAGAAAAGGCCTTGGCTCTGGGTAAGCCCTGCTCAGCAGTAATGAACACATCTCTGCATTATCAACACTGGTTTCAGCACAAATCCAAAACACAGCCCCATACCAGCTACCACGAGGAAAATTAACTCTATCCCAGCACAAACCAGCACAACTAAGCACAGTCTGCTCTCTTCAATTAGTCCAAGTTTTTCTGCAAATTCACCCAAGACTACATTTGATGATCACTCCATTACACTGACTGACCTAAAACCACCCCAAATGGAAGGCAGCTCGGTGAAGATGAGCAAGGGCACCGTGCCCATGAAGCTCTGGGAATAATGCAGGGTGTGACTGACCACAGCTGTTGAAGAGAAGCTGACTTTATCTCAGCACAAAGGGGACCAGAGGATGGCCTTTGTTTTGGATAAACAGCTATGTCAGTTGAGCAGATCAACTGACTACATTATAGTTGAGTAAATCAACTAGTGGCGTGAATGTTTCTCCCTGAGTTCATTTAAAAAAAAGTGAATGTCTCCCTGAGTTAGCTAGACGGGCACGGGGGAGTGAATACATGGCTCAACCCAACAGAGCACAAAAACTAAGTAACTAAACAAAGGAATTTCAGAGAGTAACAGGTTTGAGCTGGCTTCAACCCACATATTCCTTCCTGGTGACTGGGGGCGCCCAATATCAGGACAGTGAACATATTCCAGAGACCAGTAATGGGGACCACAACGGTATTGTGTTTGAACTGCATATTGCAATTGCTGTATTTTGCTAAGTTTAACATGCATTTGTATTGTGATTGCAGTATATTTTGTATCACTCTGCTACATCAGAAATCCGCTGTAACACCAACTATCTTCAAATAGTAAATTTAATATTAAACATTACACCCTCCACGTGTGGAATATCTAAAAGAACCTGGTCAGAGAGTATTGGACTCTGACAGGTGCCTAACAGGACACCTAAGCCTGACTCCCATCCACAGCAGAATCCAGGGATATTCTTGTCTCGGCTTGAGTCAAACACTATCCCCAAAATATACTGTACAAACAGTATTTTAAAAAACAACC